TACCGCAAAAAAAAAAAAAAAAAGAGCCCCATTACTTCCCCGCTCTGCCCTCCACCCTCTGCCACAGCTCATACCCCCTTCCTGGGGAACAGAGAATTCCACCAACAAGGCCATCTTCCTCTGGACCAGCCTGCCATCCCAGAATTGCTCTTAGACCCTCGTTTCAGGGTCCTGCCCTGGACTCTGAGCTACAGAGGGCCCTGCTCTGGTTCCCTTTAGGGCAAGGAGTCCATGGGATCAAAGGGACTCTAAGAGCCCACAACACCCCGTTCTTGACCCTGCTCCAATCCCCCATTCAAATGGCCCTGAGCCCATTTCTAGAGCTTCCTTCCCGGTCAGTCCTTCTGAGGGCAGCCCAAGCTGGGGGTGCACATCCCTGAGCCCAAGGGGTGGCCATGTGTGGATAAGGATAAGGGTGTGGGTGGAGCTTTGGAGGTTCAGGCTGAGACCTCCACCGTGGAGAAGCCTGGTGGGCAGAGGTGGGGGTGGCCACGGTGGGGAGAGGGTGCTCCACTCGTACACTGGCTGCAAGCTTCTGACACCCACCCCCCAGGAACGCATGGAGCTTCCCCCACCTGACAGCCCTCCCAGCTAACGTCAGCCACGCGAATCCCTCGAAAGCCAATAAGGACTGGCCTTCCTAGCTCACCCTAAGGAGCTCAAACCCCAACCCCAAAGGGAGCCTGGGCCTTGAGTTCAGAGATGAGCTCCCATGGCGGGGGATGGGGTGGAAAAGCGGGAAGGAGAAATCCGGCTGACTCGGGCTGCATCTTTGCGTTTCAAGGAGGGCAGGGTCCAGACAGTCAGGCTTCCTGCCCGGAACCCAGGCTGACACCGCCCCAGGCACTGCCAGGTCTGCCTGACTCAGAGGGTGGGGTGACCCAGGGAGCTCTCACTGCCTGTGGCAGCCCAGGGGACCTGTCCAGCCAGTTTCCCCATATTTGCCACGCTGGCATTTAATTTTTAATTCCTCGTATGCATCGCCTTGGAGATGGCTGGGCTCAGACTAGGGTAGGGCAAGAGGCAGCCCCAGAGCAAAGTATGACCTTCCTTCCACCAGTTGTTCCACCAGATCAGCTCTCAAAAGCTAGGGACAGGCTCTGGCTTGAGCTCTGGGCCGGGCTCTCCCTTGGAGGTAGAAGGAAGTGGGGAGAAAGGATCCTTCCCCGACTCAGCCCAGGCTCACGTGGTGTAGACAGGACTGGATTGAGAGGAGGAGACCTGGGCTTGGGTCCTGTCTCCACCTCCTTTGATCTGTGTGGCCTGGGCAGGACCGTCCCTCCCTGGGCCTCAGTTTTCTCATCCTGATGAGCACTAAGGTCCGCCCCTACCCCAGCTCTGAAGTTTGCGATTCTAATCCAGTTCCTCGGAGCTTGCAGAGCAGGAAGTGGGGTGGCCCTGGTGACCGAAGCATGTCCTTTTCAGAGGGCCTGGAGTCTCTGGGGGGCTCCAGGGAGCTGACCCCACCTCCTGCCCCTCCGTTAGCAAGTTATTTTAACACAGAAAGTCACAGCTGAGGAGACCCTAGTGGACCATCCAGTATAACCCCCGCTGGTGGGTGAGGAGCCAGAGGCCCTGGGAGAGGAAGGGCCTGGCCCTCAGCCACCCTGCAGCCCAGTGGCAGAGAGGGCACTGGTGCCAGTTACCTGAGGATCAATCCAGATCCCATCCCAGTCACTGAGGGATCCCAAGGTCCTCTTCATAATTGGCCTCTGGCTGCTGGCTGTCTGGAAGAGTATTTCTTTGTTCTCTGCACTTTCACCTCAAACAGGGCAACGAAGCTCCAGGAAGGGGCCAGAAGCACCTGCCGTGGCCCTCCTCCTCCTCATCTCGCCCTCCCCTCTCGCACCAGTCCCTCTGCGGGCTCCTGAGAGGTACTGACAGCGACAGTGCTCCCAGAAGACGGTCCGGCCCGGACGGCGCTCAAGGAAGAGCATGGGCCTGTCATGGGCATCGCTGACTTGAGCCTCCCCTGCCCCAGGGTGGCCTGGCCTGGGAGGTGCCCCCTGAGTGTGGGAAGGGAGGAGAGGGAGGGGCAAGGCCCAGCTGCTTAGGACAGTGTCAGGCAGGGCTTGGCCTCGACCCAGCTCCCCACCCCTGCCCCAACTCGGCGGGGCTGGGGGCCAGGGTGTGTGCACGTGTCTACGTGTGAACCCACAGTTCTGTCCTCCTGCCTCTCATTCTCCCGGCCTCCTGCCCCAGCTAGAAGAAAGCAAAGGACCCAGCCCAGAGCCTAAGGGAGAGGAGTCGGACTCCCCTCAACCCAGGAGCCGGTGATGAAGGATATTGGGGCTGCTTTGTATCTTACGACCTGAGTCAGGAGTAAAACATGTCCCCGGGATACGGGCCACCATGCCCAGGGTTCCTAATCTTAAGATGCATCATAGGTGGGCTTCCAGGGGCCTGAGATCCCTCTGTTGGAATTGTAAGCAAAATTACGTGTACGTGGCTCATAGCCTCATCATGCTCTCAAAGTGGTCTATGACCCTACAGAGGCAAAAACCCTGGTGCCCAGAAAGCCCTGGCTGCCAGGCAGGGGTTCAGAGAGGCAGACACGGGAGATGCAGGCCGTGCTGCGGGCTGGCGCTGGGAGGGAAGAAAAAAAGCTTCTAGGCCGTCGGTGGAGGGGAAGATAGGACGGCCTGAATAGAACTCAGACCCTGGAGCCTGGCTACAAATCCCAGCTCTGCCACTTATGAGCTGCCTGTCCTTAAGCAAGTTACTGCCCCATCCTGTGCTTCAGTTTCTCTACCTGTAAAATGGGGATTCACAGCAGCATCTTCCAAGAGGGAAGCTCCAATGACTCTGTTAACACATGCGAGGCACTTGGGATGGTGCCTGATGCACAGGAAGTGTCCCCCACGTGTCAGCCATGATCTCATGGCCCTGACACTGGCTAGGACTACACAAGCCACCCAGCCGGCTCCGACGGCATGGAATGACCCTCCCTTTCTGGGTTCAGTTCCTGCCAATGTAAAGTGAGGCTGGTGTGGACCCGACGAGGCCCCTTTCAGCTGTGGGTTCACAATGTGTTCATTCCCTCGCCCTCACCAGTGAGGGGCCGTGAGTTTGGTGGTGAGAAGCCCCATCCCTGGGACTGGGTCTGAGGCTTGCCCGGAAGGACTGCTCCCAAGCCAGTACCAGCCAGCAGTCCCTAACCCTGTGCAGCCCCCCAAGTCATGCTCGGCTTGGCCCAGACCAGATCCAAACCAGAGGACCCAAGCCAGAAAGGGGGAGAGCAGAAAGGCAGGGACCTGCACTGATCACTGAAGGGGCCCAAAGTGGGTGGGTGGGTGGGAGCAGGGATACAGGATGCCGGCCCATCAGAAGAAACTCAGCTGTGCTGCATTAACCCTTTACTTGCTGGTGCAGATCTGAGGGAGGAGCCAGGACAGCAAGAGCCACTCAAGGGGAAACTGCCATTTATTTAAATATTTTAACAACCAGAACAGGCACTGGTGTGTCAGCCCTGGGCGCCCACCACTGTAATTCTGAGTATGTGTGCTGGGAGTAGGTGAAGGGAGAGAATCGAATTCACTTCCAGCGATGGAAAATCTCAAAATTATTTCATCTGCATGTATGGGTGCGATAACCCTGTAATAGTTTTATGCATCTCTGGAAACAAAGTTAGGGGCGGACTCATTTGCTTTATACCTTTTTGTTGTTGTTGGTGTACTCTCTCTATTCGTCTGTGATGTCCGTGAATTGCTTTTGTAAGCAGAAAATAAATTACTTCAAGTTGTATTCCCAGAGGTCTGTGTGTTCAGTCCTCCACATACAGGCCTTGGGGTCACAGCAAGGAGACTGTAAGACTCAGTTCCTCTCACAAAGAATCTCGGGGTCTGGTTGGTGAGCTTGGACAACCCAGAAAAAATCGGTGACGGTGCAAGGGAGGTGGTTGTGCCGGACAGAACTTGTGGATGCCCCAGACTGAGGCATGGGGTGCCATGAGGTCTAACAGGCCCCTGAGAACTCAGACCAGGATTAGGTGCCTTGTCAGTCGAGGTATGGGATGCTGTGACCCCAGTGACTGTATTGTCTCAACCGGGACCCAGGTCTCACAGACAGTAGTGAACCTGGAATTTATGAGGCTGACAGTTTAGGCTCTAAATCTGCGCTGTTGCATACGGTAGCCATTGGCCACAAGTGGCTACTGAGCCCTTGAAATGTTGCTAGTCAGAAGTCAGATGTGTGCTCTAAATGTGGCACACCAGATTTTGAAGACTTATGATGAAAGAAAGAATATAAACTATCTCAGTAGTATTTTCTACATTGATTAAATGTTGAAATGATCATCTTTGGACTAATTTTACCGATTTCTTTTTCATGTAGCTACTAGAAATTATAAAATTACACATGAGGCTCACATTATACTTCTATTGGATGGCACTGGTCTAGGCTGTCCCTGAAAACCCAGTCACAGAGCAGTTGTTTTGAGTGTCTTTCCCTTTAGAGAACAAAAGCCCAACCACAGGCTCCAGAAGGGAGTTTTTGGTTTCTGGCAGTTTCAGATCCACAAACAAATCAGTCCCAAATGCCCTTCTCCCAAGGGTCACTGCTATTTGACCTTTGAGACAGTTCAGGTGCCACCTCTTCCAGGAAGCTTTCCTTGATCACCACCCTGTAGCTGGATTGGCCACTCCTGCTCTGGCCTATATTCTAATAGTCTGTTTACTGATTCATCCCCTGCACTGGGCAGGGAGTTCCTTGAGCAATGTTGGCTCAATCATCTCTGAATCCCAGAATCCAATGCAGGACCTGGCACAGAACAGTCAGCCATCGGTGATTGTGGAATATGAATTCTGCTGAGCTGGAGGTACCCACTGATGCATTGCCTCTGCACACAACTTCCCCATAACCTCTCCCTGGGTTTCGACTCGGAGGAGCTGACACCCCTAATCCCAGCCTTTCTGCCATGAGCCATGCCTCCTCCCAGTAGCCACCCTGGGTTGGCATCAGGACGGAAGGGAATGGACAGAGGGTGAGGCTGATGACCACTTGGGCCAGGGCAGGTGGGGCTCCCTCCGCTATGGCAGCCAAGGTGGCCCATCCAGAGCAGACCCACAGACCTCAGGGCAGAACAGTACTCACCAGTGGAAGAAAGGTGAGCAGGGGCCGGACTCTTGGCCGAGCTTTCAGTGTGGCGGTTCCCGACTCACTCACTGTGTCAACTCGGTTGTCTCCAAAATAGATCCCATCTAGAGGAGACAAGTGAGGGGAGACCTTGAGCTGGAGATCAAAGGCACAGGGGCCAATGGAGTTTAATCAGGAAAACTGAGTTTAATCAGGCCCCGCAGTGGCCCCTGCTGGACCCAGCCCAACACCTCTTACATAACAAGATCCTACGGGTGGGGCGTGTGCTTTTGGGACCAAGTGAAGCAGGATTGGGAGGGACTCCAGGGGCGGTTTCTTGGGGTCTCCTGAAGCTTTCAGCCACCAGCTTTCCTCTCTCTCCTCATCCACCCCATACAGGTTCTAAGTCTTCACTCCCACAACAAGTCCCTCCCTTTGGGGCCCTGAGAGCTTGATCAAGGCCCCAGCTAAAGCTTACCTCTGAGAGAGGGAGGAAAACAAGCTGGCTTTTCGCTTGAGTGTTTGAATTTCTAATCTGGAACAAGCAGAGCAGATTAGGCCACCCAGTGGCCCAGCACCCACCTTCTGGACTCCTCTAACCCAAGATTTCTTTAGCTCCCAAACCATCAATGGTTGGGGGCATGGCTCCATCTGATGCGCCCTTGAGGACAGAGCAGAAATAGGACAGTAGGGTCCACCTGACTTACTACAAATCCCAGCTCTGCCACTGACTCACCATGTGGCTTAACCTCTCTGGGCCTCAGTTTTCCCATCTGTACAACGGGCACAATGACAGTGCCAGCAAATGTGGTCCCGTCCTCTGTAGGAAGACAATACAGGACCTTTCTCTTCCTCTAGTTGCTGGACCTGTGCTCTGGGCTGTTTCTACAATAGTGGGAACTATTGTAGAACATTTTCTCAACCAATCTCCCTCATAACTCTTAAGACACATTGATGAGAATTTCACACACTGTCACCTCTGAGAGGCAGGGGTCACTGTGGACCTCCTACTACATGGGTCATGAGCAAGGAGGGCTTTCTCCATTTACTGGGGCCAAGGGACTTTCTCTTCCTCTATAGCCAGAGAGGAAAGAGGAGAAAGGTCAAAATTCCAACTAACCAGAATCCTACTAACTGGAACATTGGATGACTGGTGGTTACTTTGCCTCTTGCACATAACTTTAGGAGAAAAGTGCAAGAGTTTAAAGATTCCCACATAGAGGGCCTTGACTGTGACATGGAGGCTCCGGGGGAGCACCCCAGAAATGGGACACGGAGTCCTTTATGTGCTGCCCTACCTGGCAGAGAGTCGGCTGGCACATTCCAGATTCTCTACCTCTCAAAGGGGCCAAAATGGCAAGTTTTCCCCATGTCTCCAGAAATTCCAGTTCCCAGCGCTGCCCCGTCCCGTCCCGTACACTCTGGGCAAACATGATCCCCCAGTGGTGGCTGCCAGGCTCCATGCCTAAGGCTGGAGACCAAGATGCCAGAGGGTGGGTGGGGAGGGAGAGGGGGGTTGTAAGAGTGCAGATTTGGCACAATCAGAAACAAGAAAAGTAGAAATAACAGGATACCCCCAACAGCTACCACTAAAACCCACCCAGTTCTCACTGGCTTCTAAGCGTCTGTGTGTTGACAACAGGATTTCCTGGGACATTCTCTAGATAGTGCTGTTTTGATCACCAAGACGTTATACTGGGGGTGCGGTGGGGACTAACACAGGCACGCTTCCAAGCAGACCTTCTCTCTCATTATTTTATTTAATCTCTGCACCAGTGTTGGGGTCTAGGGAGCATCCTTTCTGCAGCTGAGTTAACACAATATGAATAGTTACTCTTATTGTGTGCCTAGGAGTTTTAGAAGCAAGCAATCTGGCAGGTTGATCACTATAATAGCAGTAATAATATAAGACTAGGTAGAATTTATTGAACACTTGTAATGGGCCAGGCACCCTTCTAAGCATCTTATACATTATTAATTCATCTAATTCTCAAAACAGCCCCTTGCAATTGGTATGATCACCATCCCCATTTTACAGATGAGAAAACTGAGGCACAGAGAGAGATCTAATAACTTGCCCAAAGCCTCAGAGTAAGTGGTGAAGCCGGGGTCTCTGCTCCAGGGCTGACCTCTGAACCACTATACTGTACACACTGCTCCCAAAGTGGGGAATCCTGATCCCGCCATTTATAGGATGTGGATGGGAGGATGGGGGTGTGAGGGGCAGGGGTGCTATTGGAGGGTATGGGAGGCTTGGCTGTAGCCAAGAAGCAGTGCTGGGGAGGGGTGGGAGGTGAAGCAGCTTGCCCAAGGCCCACACAGGTTAGGGCAGAGCCAGATCTGAGCCGGGGCCATCTGACCCCCACATGTTCCCACTCTACACACCTCACAGATTCCATGACTCAGCCCTGATTCTGAGCCACTGTTGTCTCAGTTGGTTTGTGGTTGTTTTGAGCAGGGGAGCCCTTTCTAAGAATACGATTGTTCTCTGGAATACCTGTGGAAGGCGAGCAGCTGTGGTAGAGACAGAAGTGGAAGGCCTGGGTGGCTCCCTCCCAAGGGGGCACCTCTTGGAAATGCAATTTGATTTCCCCATTCTAAGATGTGTGGCTGGGAGTCGGGGAAGGAAATGTGATGAGAGAAGCAGAGTCAAAGTGGTGTGATGTGAGAAAGACTTGGCTGGCCACTGCCGTGTCTGAAGATGGAAGGGACCACGAGCCGGGGAGTGCAGGCAGCCTCTAGAAGCTGGAAAAGGTGAGAAAACATTCTTCCCTAGAACCTCCAGAAAATAACAGTGTTGCTGACACTTTCATTTTAGCCCAGTGAGATCAGTGTCAGACTTCTGACCTACAGAACCGTAAGATAATAAATGTATGTTATTTCAAGAAAAAAAAAAAAGAGGTGTGTCTAGAACCTGACAGACTTTCCCTGGGCCCCTCATACCTGGGCTCAGTCCCCAGTTGGTCAAGGCACACCAGCAGGTGAGGCAAGTGTGGCCACTACCATAAGTGGGGTCCCCCAAGAGTTCAAGGTCAGGCCTGGGGCTTTCTGAGCCTCACGGTCAAGGTCCAAAACTAAACAGAAAGACAATAGAGTCCAACCTTGGGGATTTTCCTGTGGAAGTAAATGAATGCTGCTAGGATCAGTGTCAGGGATACTAGAATGGGCCTTCCTGGGAAGCAGCTCCCTCCTCAATTGAAGAGATTAAAGGAGAGCCTCTTGGGCTTCCCTGGTGGCGCAGTGGTTGAGAGTCCGCCTGCCGATGCAGGGGACACGGGGTC